AGCCCTCCGACAGCACCTCGGGAATTGCTTTGTCCTGACAGGAGGAAGCGTGGGCCTTGCTGGGCTCTTCCAGCTCGGAGCTGCCAAAGGAACAGCCTTTCCCTGCTCCAGACAGGCCGGAGCAGAACATATGGGAGCTGTTCGAATTGCTTCTCTGCTCCAGACATGAGTGTGCATATTTACTTCTAAAGGACTAGCAGGACCTTCCTGGGCGATCTGGTCTCATCCTTTGTCGTTAAAAGCCTAATTTCAGGCAATCCCCTAATAAATTTATTTATCGTTATTTTTAAAGTAGGTACTTTTTGTGCCTGCTGTTCTAATCAGTGAACTAGGGCAGAACTTAATTGTTTAACTATGTACTGACTGTTTTAATGCACCTTTGTTGCTGTGCTGGCACTGTGCTTCTCCTTAATGACTTTTCCCCTCTTGTAGTTTGTATTCACTGTGGTGTATTTATAGGCAGCATTCGTATCTCTCACCTTTTGATCTGCTAGGCTAAGGAAAGCTGGGTTTATTTCCTATTCCCAACATGCTTTTTTCCCCCCAGAGCATTCTAGGAGCTGTTATGTTTAAACTCGAATGATTCAGGTATCGCTTAACCCAGATAGCCCCGTGAGATACTCAAGTCTCTTGAAAATGATCTAATCCTTCCCTATTTTTTTTGATGCTTCTTCTGACACCTTCTTTGGCTGCTTCATGTTGTTTTCTTGTGCTTCAGCAAACCACTCAGGTTCTTCTCTCCAGTCATTTCTAACTGAACTTGTATTTGAAGTTCTTCATACTAATCTTGAAATACATGGCCTTATTATGTCGTTCTGATGTGGCAGTATTTAATTTTAGACCTCTCGTGATCTCTGCTGACTTTGTATCGCTAGCAACTTCAGTTGCACTTCTTGTGCCAGAATTGTTTATGTTAAATTTGTTAGTTTTGAGCATAATCCTTCCTTGAGTCTGGTTAACAAATTGCCTGCATCTGTTTTATTTCATTTAATTCAATTTAAATAGGATAATCATAAAGCTTTCTTAGTAACATAAATCATGGAGCTGTTTGTTTTTCACTGCCTTTCCTTTATTAGCACTCAGAAGAACTTTGATGGCTGTTGCCTGAGTTGCTATTTCTTAATCATTTTAAGAATGCTCATTTTAAGAAAGTTAGTAAAATTTTGGGACTGTGGAGAGGTGGAAAAGAGAAACATGATACATCCCACACCAAAGGCTCAGGCTCTAAATTATCTCTTATTTCCCTGCTAATATTTTGAGAGAAGGAACTGCCACAAACATAACAGAGACCTTACACGTTTGAGGTTTGCCATACTGAGTTGGGTATAAAAATCAGGGAGCACATCATAAACATGGTACTGCCAGAGCTGCAATTGCTGTTTCTCTTCCAGTGTTAGATGCTGGTTTGCTGAGGGGGAAAAAGAACCAACCAAACCAAAAAACTACTTATGAAAAGAAAAACCCCTTTGGTTTGTAATGAGTCTGGCACACAGAGCCATTAGGAACTGGATCTTTCAGGCTGGAGTCGGAAGGATCACAACACATACAGTGAAAAAGGCCCACACAACAGTGGAATTTACTTTTTTTGAAAAGTTAGATTGTAATTACTGACAGAAAACATCAGTTAAACCTGTTTCTTATTTTTTTTAGGTACTGTATAAGCAGGTGCTTGCTTGGTGGTGCTTCCCCAAAGGAACAGGATTTTGTTTTGACACACTCAGCCAGTTAATCTAGGCATAATGTTGGGCTTAAGATTCTCTAACTTATTCCAGGTACTCTAATATGTCCCCTCAAGCTCTTTTTTCCTCTTTAACTGCATTTTGAAATATATGTTGAATATATTTTAGTGGTATTTAAAGTCCATTCAAGGGGTTTTGAGGAGAAAGTGTTGGAGGATAATGTTCTTTGTGAGAACCTTTCCAGCTGCCCTGGTGTGAGCTCAAAGCTGAGCTGGTAACATCACGTTGAAGTGGGTTTTGCATTTCAGTTCCCCAGGATTGGATTACTGTCAAAGGCCAGTAGCCAGGCAGTTTACTGTCCTCCTGGACACTTTTGGTTTGTCTTGGTTATATTAAGCACTTAAAATGTTTTTTGGGTTTTTTTTTTAATAATTCTAATAAGCCTTAAAAAGCCCATTTAAATGCAGTTGTTCTCCTTTTTGTGCTATTCCATAAGCTAGCTGGATTTAGATGTGTCACATTACTCCTACAATGTATGTTTTAGCTAATGAAGGCACCCAGGCTTGCATAATTTTGTGTTTTGTGGAATTTAATTTTATATTTGTTTCCTGCCTACTTAATTAATATCATAGGATGAAAGAAGCTGTGAGTTTTAATGAAAGTATCAGAAAATTAAGAGGGCTATGAAAAAATAAAATAGCATAATGAAAGTTCTACTCAAATACCGCTGGATTCTTTATTAAATTTAAAAAAATATTAAATTTAGATGCTATGCTATGGTTGACACACGTTTATGGTCTCTCATTAGAGTATTAGAACCAGAATGTGAAGTGAGCTGAAAACAAATGGCAGGTTTGTTTTCAAGCTGACATTAAAAAGCACAGCTAAAGGAAGGAACCACTTAAATTCTGACCTTCTGAGAGCCTAAATACAACTTTAACTGGGCAATATTCTCTTTAGGTAAAGAGAAGCCGAGCCACCAGCTCACATAAAATGTTTACAGGCTGAGTTCAAGCTGCAATTGCAGTAGCAAACAGTCTAGGAAATTGTTTTTATGGTGCTTGTCAAAGTACTTTATTAGATACAGATAAAAACATTGTACCTCTGCCCAGGTTACCTCAGGAGCGTTTGTTGGGGCTGTTTCTTCAACCTTTGGGCAGCAATTTGAAGAAACATTCCAAATGACTCCTACAACTGGGACAAGTGGAGTTAATAAAAATGGTACTATGTTGTTTGCAAGGGTAATTGATCCCTCCTTCTGGGGTTTGTTCCTTTATTGTCTGGAGATGCCCTGGATGAACTTCTGAAGTGATTATATAAAAATCTAAACATTATTTTTAAGTGACAGATTGGCCACTTAGAGGTACTGGTTGAAAAAAAAATAGTTTTCTGAGTCATCTGCTAGTGGCCTATCTGCAGGGCTAAAAATTCTCTTTGGAGTTTGCTCACTGATAGATAAAAGTGTTTCAGCTTTTCTGGCAGAAACGGTGGAATGGTGCCAGAAGGAATGAGGAGAGCCAGGATTCTGGCTTTGTCACATCTGAGCATCCCAGTAGAAATACAAGAGCTGATGGGAGACGAGGATGTCTTTGCTTTAGTGGGAATGATTTTTGTGTGCCTCTGAGTAAGGATTCTGATTTTGGGTTGAATCGTCAGCTGTCATACCAATCCTGGGTGTGTGTATTGATTTCAAGTTACAAAGAAAATTTTCCCATTTCCTTTAAAAATGTACTTTTAATAACCAGTTGGCTTTTTTTCTCTTTAGAAGTATCTCAGGTGTTGTTGCACATTACAAAGAAACAGAAGGCATTCACAGTTCCAAATTTTGTCCTTCCTTTCCTTACCAACTTAGGATTGGAGGCAGCCAGAAGTGCTGTTTTCTGGTAATGTGAGCAAGCTGCATCACAAAGGAACTCCTGTTTCTGTAACAAAAAAATGTAATAATTAAGCTTAAAAAAATTTAAATACCTAGCAAAATTGAGACAAAGGAGTTGGAAGTTGAATGTCAAAAGCTGCAGAAAGAGCTTACATTTGAATAATTAGTTCCCAAGCCTGTACTTAAGTCTTCAGGAGCTATTAAATTGCAGTCTCTCATTGTTGTCAATAAATGATTCATTAAGGATAAGTTCCATTCCATCTTTGCTCTAATGTGGTACCTCCCAGTCTTCAAATATGTGCACCTTATCTTGGAAGACTTATCTCTGTAAACTTATTTATATTTCTTCTAGGTAACCTTTTATATATTTCTGTACTTCTGTGATGAGCATATTAAGCAAATGAAGCAAGAGAAGTTAAATGAGCTGGGAAAGAAAGGTGACATTATCCAGAACTTTCAGTATAAAAGGGAAGCTCCAATTTTTGCTGCAGATGAGATCTGGCACCGGTTGATGCTGTTATTTTCAATATTGTCTGGGGGAGTATGTACCAGTCACTCGGCCTCCTTTTGTGTGGTGCTGGGGATGATTCACAGTGCTGCAAGTCACTCTTTATGTTGATTAATCTGTGTGCCTGAAAACAGTGGGTTATTATTAGACATGGAATAGAAAAACCTTTTGAGACTTTCATGTATCAGTGTACAACCTCAAACTCTGAAGGAGAAGGTCAGGTTTATATTCTGCCTTGTCCTTTCTACCCAGGGTTTTGCTAGAGGTGATTTCCAGGCACAGTGTAAAAAGGAGGAACAGAACTACTGTAATAGATATTACTTCATTGCTGTGCAAAATTTGGAATTAAACCAGTTCTTTTTGAGTTTCCTTTTTTGATCTGAAGCTCTAGCTGCCTTTTTCAGTATGAAAAATGGCTCTTTTATATAGGAAATTTATCTGCAATATATGAAATTTGTCTGCATTTCTAATGTAGGTTGGTAGTAGACTTCTAATATGGGTTGACTTAAATGAAAGATTAAAAGAAATAACTTAAATCCAGGAGTAAAATTTGATTTTAAAATCTTCTTTTAGTCTGTCTCGAATGATAAATTTCCAGTAGACTTAATAAATTAGAATTATTTTTCAGCAATTACTTTTCTTCCTGTGGGAACACAGGCGGGGTTCAAGCCCAGCAGACCTGACTGGATGTGGTTCTGGGGTGACTGGAGAAGGAGGCTCCCAGCAGTTGGGCCAGTTGTTTATTGTGTGACCTGCCTTTGCCTGGCTCTATGGGACACATCTCCTTTTGTAATATTTACCAGACACAAAAAAGAACATTGTAGAGTAATGGGAGATTCATAGACAAGACAGAATGATTTGACTAAATCTCCTTTGTTTCATTGTGTTTTGTGTATGCCAGGAGGAAGCTTCTCCTTATTCTTTACTTGATATCTGTTTGAATTTCCTGACTGCCAACCTCGAGAAGTTCTGCACAGAAAGGCAAGATGGGACACTGTGCTTGCAGGAGCCAGGGATGTTTCCTCAAGAAGTGGCTGATCGACTGCTGCAGACGATGGCATTTCATGGTAAAAACAGTTATTTGTGGGGCAGCAGTGAAAATATTCTACTGGAATGTGACACTGCAGTTCTGGTGTACTTTCTAGTAGAATCTGCTGTTGCAGCTGTTTAAACTGTGTTCATTAATCTCTTAATAGAGAATTTTTGTTATTTTTTGGTTTTCCACAGTTTCAGCAGAATTCTGCGTTGCCGTGTAGATAGTTCTAAATAGGTCCTTTGTCTTGCCTTTATGATTTTAATGTTCCTTTAATTGAACATTCTTTAATCTTCTTTAGTCACTTCAGAAAAAACCCAAATATTTGATTCTACTACTTCTCGCAACACTCAAATATTCCAGTATCTCTCACAGAGCAATGCAATTTTCTTTGCTGTGTGCCCTTACAATTAAACTAGAAAATAACCTTGTGATTTTTAAAAATAGTTTCTCATCTCTTTGGTCACTTTTATTGAAGTGGAATTGTTTGCTCAAAAGCAGACAGTGTCAAGAGTGGTATAAGCACCTTGTGGTGTTCTAACACGTGGTGTACTGGCCTGTCATGTTCCCTGTCAGCACACCTCTGAGGAGAGAGCTGCCCTTGTTCACTTACTTTAGGCATGGTAAAGGAAAATCTGTGCCAATAAAACTTCTTACTATGAAAAATTGAATGTGTAGATTACACTAGAGAAGAGGCAGGAGGACCCATTCCTGGAGATCCTGGAGACTTTTGGTAAAAGATGAGACATGACACTACAAAAATTCCTGTACACACATCAAGTGCCCTACCCTATAGATGCAGATTTGATTGGGTCTTACTGTGCATACACTGGTGTTCTGGTCAGAAACAACAGAAGGAATGGTCCTAACAAAAGACAAGCTCAAAAAAAAATTAATCTTTAATATACTTTGCTTTCTGATAAGTAATTCTTTAGAGTAGTCCCAAGAAATCAGATTCAAGAAAACCGAATTACCAGAAACTTATTACCAGTGAGGAAGACAGTTCCAGATACCAAAATGTCACAAACACACAGAGGGCAGGATGGAACAATGTGCATGGCAGGGTAAACAGGTCAAGGCTGAGGAGGACCAGTGAGAGAGCATCAATCCTTAGATGAAAATATGAGCAAAAATGGAGAAGTAATTTGGTGATGCTTGAACCAAACTATTATTGTATTTATTGCTTTTACTTTTTCTGCTTGGTACCTGTTATTTCACCCCATGTTTTTGCAAAAAAGAGGAATGCCCTGACTACTACGTCAGAAATGCCCAAACAGTTTACTCTTTAGAAAGGTCTGCAAATCTTAACATTAATTTGACTTTTCACAGAGGCAATTACTAGCTCATGACTTAAATCCAGACTGTAGTGGCAATGATGTTATTTTTCATATATAATGCATTTTTATTTTGCTTTCTGTGTTAAATATGTGTGAAGATAGGAGGTTAAAGACCAGGAGTGCTGACATGTATAACCCTGTAGAGTGAAACCAGAAGGACATGTTCTTCCTACTCCTTTTGTGTGCAGGGTTGTGCAACTGTACTCTTCTAGTGGCTTTTTATAAAGCAGTAAACCTGCTGTTGATAAGATACCATGGTATATTCAGTGCATTTTGGGTAGTTCCATGCAGGGAACTCAATGTATTGTTTCAGTTAGGATGTTGTCTGCATGTTGCAAGAAAAGGCTCCTTAAGCATTCTCCTTTCTACAGAGTAAAAAGATAATAATTTCAAAAAAGGATTGTTGCATCTTCCTTTTTACATCTCTGTCTTTGTCTCCTTCTCACCCTTTCCTTGCCCTCCTCTTTCTCCTCTTTGAATCACTTTTTAGGTTTCTTTCTCACATTCAGCTCGTTTCTGAGCAACACTCCTACCTTCTTCCTGAGGGATGTATAGAACTTGATTAGCTTAATTTAGTGTATTGATCCTACTTATGAATTCAGTCAAATGCTAAATTATTCAGTTAAAGCAAGGTGAGATCAGGTCATTGATAGGTGGTGAAATCTTGAGGTTAATAGACCTATGGCCAGGGAAGAATTATACTCAGAAATTTTGAAATTCTGTTTTTAGCACAACTTCTAACAAGTTCAAGGAGAAAATCCAAAAGATGCAGGCAGCAGTGGGATTGTTTTTGAATCATATCCATGTTTTATTTATTGCGTGTTCCATGTTCTAAACCAAACAGGTGATGTGTACATACTACTCCTTCATATATCTATCCTATTCTTAAACCTGGAATTTTCCAAAAGTGAGGTCATAATCTTAAAAATGGAATCTCAAATACAAGATTTTTGGGATCAGTAGCGTAATGATCCAAGATAAACTCCCTTGTAACTAATTTTCTTTGCTAACCCTTTGGCTTCTTAAAACAACAGTGGTGTTCTGTAACACTGGAGCCAAACACTGATGCTGTTTTCCAACAGGGCTTCTGAATGATGGCACTGTGGGGATCTTCCGAGGGAACCAGATGCGTTTGAAACGGGCTTGTATCCGGAAAGCCAAAATCTCGGCCGTGGCCTTCCGGAAAGCGTTCTGCCATCACAAGCTGGTGGAACTGGATGCCACGGGGGTGAACGCAGACATAACAATCACAGACATTATAAGTGGACTGGGCAGCAACAAATGGATCCAGCAGAACCTGCAATGCCTTGTGCTGAACTCACTGACTCTTTCCCTGGAAGACCCGTACGAGAGGTGTTTCAGCCAGCTCTCCGGGCTGCGCGCCTTGAGCATCACCAACGTGCTCTTCTACAACGAGGACTTGGCAGATGTCGCGTCGCTCCCGAGGCTGGAAAGCCTGGATATATCCAACACCTCCGTCACTGACATCACAGCACTCCTCACCTGCAAGGACCGGCTCAAGTCTTTGACCATGCACCACCTGAAATGCTTGAAAATGACCACGACCCAGATCCTGGACGTTATTAGAGAACTGAAATACCTGAACCACCTCGATATCTCCGATGACAAACAGTTCACGTCGGACATAGCCCTCCGTTTGCTGGAACAGAAGGATATCCTGCCTAACCTTGTGTCATTGGACATTTCTGGCAGAAAACACGTGACAGACAAAGCTGTGGAAGCGTTCATCCAGCAGAGACCCACCATGCAGTTTGTGGGACTGCTTGCCACCGACGCCGGCTACTCGGAGTTCCTGACAGGAGAAGGGAACCTAAAGGTTAAGTGGGGGAATTAATTTCACTGAAAAATTGTGATGTACGGGAAAAATAGAACTAATCATGTGTAACAAATGTATGTGGGTGTTTCAGGAGGAGACTGTAGGTTCACTTTTTTAACTGTTAATTGTAATTACTGACTTTATGTCAAATTCCTACTTAATTCTGACACAAACTGCTAAATTTGCGTGATACTATTATTGTAAGAAGTACTTGTTTTCTTTTCTGATCCTGATTTAACATACCTAAGAGAGCTGAACTTTGTCTAGTCTGAAGTCATTTAGTGGAATAATATTCTCTGAATTCCAACACAGTGTCTCTCATAACTCAGTGTGTAAGAGGTGGAGGTACAATTTGCATAAGCTTTGAGCAGTTCATGATTAACACAGCAGATACAATAAAACTGAATAACTCGGCTATTCTGACCTGTTACAATATTTCTACCCACCTTGAAAGGTCTTTTGGTGATGAACATGTAAGAAGCAATTACTTAGGATGAACAACTTCCTCTTCTTGAACAAATCCTAAATTCCTTAGTCCCTTAGGGTGAGACAGTGTTTGCTGAAGTGCATTTATTTATCTTTTAGTGCCAGGCAACAAGACATCATTCCCTGTTCTGTAGAATATGGATGCACTTATTGGAGAATGAGCCTGTCCTGTCCCTACTATGAAGGGGTCAGAATTAATGAAGAAAGAAAGAGATGTTTTAGGCAAGTCAGTGGTATATCATCTTTAACTCTGAGTTTTGTTTGCTGCTGTGCCATGAGGATGGAAACTGCAGAGAAAATGAGGAAGAGTGCATGTGTCCATAGTTTAGTCTGTCTCCTGTGGGAGCTGTGTTTTGCACTTCAGTTTTAAAATTCACAATGCTCTTGTTATAGGCAAGTGGAACAACAGCTACGCAATTTAATTTTTTTTTCCCCTGAAACTTTTGAAATTTGTTACTGGTCGGGTCACTTGAGTACTTAGTTGTCACAGTGAGAGCAAAGTGTATGAATGTTGAAATGGCTGGTCAGAGAAAGCAGGTTCCCCTTTGGTGTGATGATGTACAGCATCAGGAAGTTATACCTCATGTTTGTTATAAAATAATTCAGTGTATTCCTCCTGTTTAAAATACATGCTTCAGAGAATTTTCTGTGCTGTGAAAACACAGGAAAGGAGAAGGTTCTAGTAATGTGAAAATCCCAATGGACTTGTGGCAGTGTAGTTAACAAAAAGCAGTTTGCATTTTATTTTTCTTTTTTTAAGACATAGTTGTCAAGAAGAGACTGTAGGCTGTGATTGTTTTTATTTCCTTTTTTCCTTTTTTTTTTTTTTTGGTGACCTAAATTCATTAGTAACTCTACTGAAATATTCAACTGCTTAGTCTAGATGCTGTTAAAGAATAAACAGGACACAGTACTCATGGAAACAGCAGAGGTAAAATGTTACTGCCTTTACAGCAGTCCAGTGAAATTTGATTATGAACACCAGGCAGATATTATAGTTAAGAACATGAAGCCAAATGGAAATACTTCATGTAGGGTATAATTGGCTGCAGAACATGTCAGTAAATATGATTGCCCTGTTCTAATCAGCAGAAAATATAAAACAAAATCCAAGATGTTTTCAATTCTCTCTAGGCTGTAATATATTTCTGATCCCACAAGTTTAAAAAAATATGTCTCTATTCAATACAGGATGTACAGAATGTGACACTTTAATCTATGAACATTTGCTTTCCTATGTGTGATGCGTTAAGGAAAACAAGTTCTGCATGCTGCCCTAGGAATTTTAAAAAACAGTGATTGCAGCAAAGATTCATTAAATAGTAGGACTGAGGAACAAACCATCCACAGTTATACAACTTACAGTTATAAATAGATAAAATATAGTTAAATAGAGAATATAGCAGACTGGGCAGTGAAAAAAGTTGCAGCCAGTTGCTGATTTAATATTCTGAACTTAAAGCTCATGTTAGTCAACAGCTCAGCTTCTAATGCAGTCTTTGCCCAACTTAGTTTGTTGTTTGGTTTTCACATGTATTTCAAGTCTGGTTTTAAGAATTACTTCTTTTGCAGGGAGCATGAGTTAGTTCTCTAATATGGTGCTGGAAAGCCTTTGCTACAGATACAGTTTATAAGAAACTTGATGCAGATAAAGAATGGATTTTTTTTTTTTTTATTTTTGCTGGAACTAGAACCAGGGCGAAAAAATGACAGCTAAAACACCATCAGTTTATCAGCTGCAGTGACAGAGCATTCAGTTACAAACAGTGCTTGTAGGCATTTGGGGCATCATACACAGCTTTTGGTAGGTGTGAAGTGCTACTTTTACTTAATGGTTTCATACAGTTCTGCTTAAAGACATGACTGAGGCCTAATTTTGGCTTACAACGTGACTTCTTTATGGAGAAAGTTTGCAGATTGTATAGTTCTGGATTATCCAAAGTTAAAGCAATCCAAAATATCATTGCCTTTGAAACTGCAGCTTTGCACTTCTTGCCAACAAAAGTTTTTAAAGTAAAATGATGGCATCTTGAACTAAAGATTATTTCTGTGCTCACAGGTGTCAGGAGAAGCAAATGAAACTCAGATTTCTGAAGCACTGAAGCGTTACAGTGAACGGGCCTTCTTTGTGAGAGAAGCGCTTTTTCATTTATTCAGCCTGACACACGTCATGGAAAAAACAAAGCCTGAAATTTTAAAGGTAAAATAATATAGTTTTGATGATTGTCCTGCATTGTTTCTTAAACTGAGCTCACCCCCAGAATCTTGGTATAAATTATTTTATAGGCTTTTACATTTTTGGTTGTGTTTGTTGAGATTAAAATTGTAATGTTAGATAAAAATTAAAGAACTCTTTAAACAGTGGTGATGTAGAAGACACCCTGTGGCATTTTATGTTAGGTAAAGTGGATCTAGACTAATGTATAGTATCTAAATTAATTTTTTCACATAACTTTTAATATGATATGAAGTTTTCTTTATATGCTGAATTCTTTCAGTAGAACATAATTGGATCAAATCAAAGGTCTGTCTTGTCTCATTCACCAGACAGAACTGTGCCTTCTGCTGATGCTCACAAACAGTAATAATAAGTAATAATAAGTGACAGTTTTCTCTAAAGTCACCTTCCAGTATGACAGCAAGTGAGTAAATATCATTGGTGTTCTATATTGGGCTCTATTTTGGAGCCTAGAAACTTCCTTAGAAATCCATTCTAGGCATTGGCTTTCCATGTCTGGAACACCAGAAATGGTTAATTTTTGCTGTAGTAAAAAGAGGTATCAGTAGGACACATGATTTTTGTTTTTCCTGTCCTCTTTGGTGTTGAACAGGTGGCCTTGAACTTGCTGGCCTCAATATCAGAAAGACTTTGTCAATAAATAATCAACAAGAAAAGTATTCCTAGGTGGGATCACAGTCAACATACCTAGCCAAAAACAATTCAGGAAGGAGTTGCAAGTAATCTGTTCTGACCTAGCAGCTGAGGATGTGATTTGAAATTGCTCATCACCAAACAAGCCACCACATTGTTACCATTGCACTGCAGACATTCTGTCCTACCTCATTCACCTCTGAAAGGGTTTGGTGATTTCAGCCCAGGGTGTAAAGCAAACCCTGGATCTTTCTAGGAATTTTTTCCATTCCATGCAGCCTCTCTTTTGAGAGCTTGCTGCAAGCTGTGCAAAAGGACTTGGAGCACTAGAAGTTGTCAGCTTTGAATCACTGAACAGAAGGAAATGTTCTTCCTGAGAATTTAAATCCCACCAGATGGATTTCTCACTGAAGTGACAGGGAGGCAAAAATTGGGTGCTGGGAGTCAGTGCTGTGGCCTCAAGCAGCAGCAGGTTGTTCTTGGGATCTGTGTGCAAATATGTAAGTCACTAAGGTGGGCAAAACTCTTGTATTTCAGCTGGTGGTGATTGGGATGAGGAATCACCCCCTGAACTTGCCCGTGCAGTTGGCAGCCAGTGCGTGTGTGTTTAACCTGACCAAGCAGGACTTGGCAGCGGGAATGCCCGTGCGCCTTCTGGCCGACGTCACTCACTTGCTCCTGAAAGCCATGGAGCACTTCCCAAACCATCAGCAGGTAAAAGACAAAATTCCTTTGTTTCCTGTAGGATTCTCTGTCTCGTGGATCTTAACAAAAGGCTCATGACCTCATGGAAATGTGTTTAATGATTCATAGTAAGAAAATATTCTGAAATTATGTATGTTTCTGATGAAGGAATTCTGTTTCATTTCTCAGCTGCAAAAGAATTGCCTTCTTTCTCTATGCAGTGACAGAATCCTTCAGGATGTTCCATTTAACAGGCAAGTTTTATGTGTTGGTTAAAATTATGTTAAATGTAGGATTGCAGAATATTTTTCTTTGTCTGTTCCTTCAGAAGCTTTGTTTCTAGTCTCAGTTTTGGTCAGCTTAAATCATTCCCTTGTGCTGAATTTACCTGGCCTATGTTATTTTAGGCCTGTGGACCCAAACGTATACCACTGAATATAGGTCTGAAAAAATCCTTTGGTATACAGGTATTTTTTACTTCAGCTGGATGGGTCTGTCACTGATGGCATGTAACAGAAGTCAGGATTTTTCTGGGCATTTCTGTGGGATTACTTTTTGCAGTCATTTTTCTACTTAAATATTTTGTCCAGATACTTTCAAGTGTGTTGACCTGATGTTTCAGAAGATTGTGCCAAATTTTTCCTCCTTCTTTGGAAGCAATTCCTCTATACTTTAATATATAATTAGAAATAAGAGAGGCTAAGCAAACAGCTCAAAGCTGGCAGAGGCTCATGGAATACCTGCAATTTGACTGTATTTCTACTTTTTTTGATATGGGGCATACTTCTTCCAGTTTCTGTTGTCTATGCACATCTTTCTTTTACTAAGACTTCTGAAAATTAATTCTATTTTTAACTTCCAGGTTTGAAGCAGCCAAACTTGTTATGCAGTGGCTGTGTAATCATGAAGATCAAAACATGCAAAGGATGGCTGTAGCCATAATTTCCATTCTTGCTGCAAAGGTATGAAATTTAAGCTTTGAGATGATAGGATAGTATTTCTAGAGTCTAAAAAATTGTTGATATGGTTTTGTTTGTTTACAGCTTTCAACAGAGCAAACAGCTCAACTTGGCGCAGAACTCTTCATTGTTAGGGTAAGTCAGATACTTCCCTGACATCCCATCCTCTCCAGCTATTCCTGCTACCAGTATTCCTGAGATACAAAGTAAACATAAGGAGATAATCTGTTCTTAGAGTTCTAACTTGTGTTCTTGTGAAAGTTCTTTAGAAGGGAAAAGCCTAGAGATTTTGTTAGAGGTGATAGCAGAGCCAGTGGCAAGGAGATGTATTAGCACAGATGAAAAGGAACTAATGTGGAAAAACTTGACACAATTAATACAAAGTGTAATAGCAAGACTTCTCTTGATTTGAAATCCATTGTGTCAGGTGAAATATGCTCAGGGAGAGAATATTTGAAGCAAATGCTTCGTGCAGTCAATGTTTGTGTGGGGTGCAGAGTTCCGTGGGTGGCTTTGTGTCGTCCATAGTGGTGCTACACATGTAATTACTGTGAAAACAAGGGAATTCCTTTAGAAGGCAAACATGTGCAGAGGGGAAAATTTAATAGCTGTTTTATTTTGTATAGTTTACCCCTAAACACGTAGATCTTTACTCTGCATGTAAATGCCAGCTGTGCATTACCCTGGTTGGTGCAGCAGAAGCAGAGGAGCCAGTATGTATTTCAATACGCAGTCATAACCGGGATTTTTTGATTTCTATTTTTCCAGCAACTTCTACAAATAGTTAAACAGAAAACAAATCAGAATCTTGTAGATACCACCCTCAAGTTCACACTGAGTGCACTTTGGAACCTCACTGATGAATCTCCAACAACATGTCGGCACTTTATTGAAAATCAAGGGCTAGAACTTTTCATGAGAGTCTTAGAGGTGAGGAGTGCAGTGGTGGTGGTGGATTGTCAACACAGGGTTCTAATTGATGTGATTTCAATAATAACATAAATGGTTACCTGTTGTTTGTCTCTTTTTTCTACAGTCTTTTCCATCTGAATCATCCATCCAACAGAAAGTTCTTGGACTTCTGGTGAGATGAAAAAGAAAAATCTGAAATACATACTTCTAAATATTAATTTTGAAAGCGTTTTTTTTAACCCTATGTTAATCTGAAAAATTCCCTTATATTTTTATGTTCTTCTTTATTTTTTATAGTGTGTATTATTCACAACTGACACATTTTTGGACTGTTTTATGCATTCTTCAAAAGTTTTATTGAAATTTGATGTTTACAGTAAATAAAAGGAGCTTATAAGAAAGTACAATGAGCGAGGCTTCATGTGAGTCCAAATGCAAAAAGCAGATTGATAGTCAGTGGAATTCAAAATTGTGCACTGCTGAAGTTTCCTGAAATTGTTTTTTAGAATGTTAAAATCAGCCTTTAATTTAGTGTAATCTGCATGTTAATGGCCTAAAATTATTTTATGAGAAAACCTGTTTGTTTTAAGACGTATTCCTGCATTAGGCTGGAAAAATTTTCAACAGCAAAAGTACTATTTTGGCATGCAGTGGTCACCTGGATGTATGAAGATCTCATCCAGGTGTTTATATATGTTTACAGTCACAATGTAGCTGAAGTTTATGTTTATCTCCTCACACTATATTCTTTATGTTGATATTCTTTTTTTTTTTTGTTTCCCCCCCCTTCCAGAACAACATAGCTGAAGTTAAAGAACTCCATTCTGAATTGATGTGGAAGGACTTTATAGACCACATCAGTAAATTGTTGCACAGTGTGGAGGTGGAAGTCAGCTACTTTGCAGCAGGGATTATTGCTCACTTGATATCTCGGGGAGAGCAGGCCTGGACGTTGAGTCGCAGCCAGAGGACGTCTCTCCTTGAGCAGCTGGTACAGAAATGATGGTGAATTTTGTCATACTCTCTTAGATTTTTTTCAATGTTTGTATTTAACAGTCAGTGTTCTCGGTTCTGTGTTTTGCAGCATTCTGCCATTTTGAATTGGCCAACCCCAGAATGTGAGATGGTGGCTTACAGGTAACTACTGTCTTGATCTAGAGTTTGGAAAATAAACTCAACTAGATTTAAAACTTGTTCCCAAAGCAGAGTGAGCTGCCAGTCAGACATGGTTTCATCCAGTGGAAAAACACCTATTGGCTAAAAATATGCAGTGGGCTAATTTTCCCTTTGTGACCAAAGAAGGTTAAGGACTCCTGTAAAATAAAAATATGCTGCTTTTCTGTTAAAGGTATTCAGCTGCAGGCCTAAAAAACTTAGACACAAAGATTAACTAGTAAGGTTATCTTGGCTCACACCAGATCAGCGCTGTCTGTCCTAGGTAAGAAACTTAAGGCCAAAAAGCACAATTAGATAATTGCTGGAGATCTAATACTTACATTTTCCACTGCTTTTAGTCCTATTTTTAAGGAGCAGGAGGCATCCAGATCTTATGGTAAACACATAACATATCCACTATATCTGATTTTTGTTAATAACTGCCTTCAACTAGAGTTTTAGATGCAGCAGGCCAGTGTCTTGATCAGTGTCTCTCCCAGTTAACCTATAGCTGAATGAGCAGACAACATGTCACCTCTGAAGTAATGATATCTAATAGCAAAGCAAGTAGCTGTTTCTCTCCTCTTTGTTTTAACAGGTCTTTCAATCCGTTTTTTCCACTACTTGGCTGTTTCATGACACCTGGTGTCCAGTTATGGGCAGTGTGGGCCATGCAGCACGTCTGCAGCAAAAATCGTATGTATTGAGATCATATTACCCTTCAAATTCTTCTTTCTTAACATATTCACTAGCATGAAGTGGGAAAAAATAAGAATTCCTCAGATATTCACTCCTAATCCTCTAGAGAAGATATATTTGGACCTTGACTAAATGGGGCAGAAAAAGAAAGTAGTAAAAGTTCCTTACATCCTTTTTATTTACTAGAATTTTACTGTTAGGTGCCTAATATTAATTCCAAAATGTGGATGTATTAAGATGAACTACATTTTTTGCTTGCACAGGTGTTTTTATTCAGAAATGTAACTATTAGTAATGGGCAACAGATTTCTTTTAAGTTAAGAACAGTGACCATAGCAGGTGTCAATGTCTCACTGTGGGAGCAGAAATGCTGGGTAATCCTGCCCTAATCGCCTTTTGCAGTAACTTGCTGGGACAGAAAGGTCACTTCCTTAATCCTTCCTTCCCATCTACAAAATGGGAACACCAGTGTCTAGTTTGTAAAATGATTTGAGAGTATTTGATGAAAGTGTTGGGAAAGGAAATAAATCTCCCAACCATATCTAAATGTAAGAGTGGACAAACGTTCCTGGCTTTTAATACTGGGTTTTTTGGTTGGTTTTTTGATTTGAATTTTTGACATGAATGTGTGTATATAAAGCAGCTTTCCTCTAAAGTATTAAAAGTGTTTTCTGTGCCAGTTTTAAATCTTCTTGACAGCAATATATCTGGGCTTGTTTATCGCTGTCGCATAAATCACTATTTCTGCAGTGATAAGGCATCTATTCAGGACCAACCAATAAGATGGCAAAATATATAACTGCACACAGAATACTGTTTGCTGCTCTTTATAGAGCTCATAAATATAATGAGCTACTGTTTCCAGGGTGCTGCCCAGAAATCTGAGAGGGCTCTTCATGTTGAAGTAGGACTGTTCTGACAGAGCTGTTTTACTGGTCAGACTCTGGATAACAGATTTTGATTAAGACCCTGTCATTTCTCTCTGTCCTTTAGTCCTGTTAACTTGGTACTGTCCTATTTGTTCTATTTATTTGTAGCATTTCTTTTGTGCTGCCCTAACCTCTGAGCTTTCAACATGCCACAGGGGTTTGTATTGGCATACTCCTGATTTGAGATCAAGGCAGTTCCTGAAGTTTAGTTCTGATGGTAGTTGATGCCAGAAGCTTCTGCACAAAGTTGCAGAGAAGCCAAATGTTTGGTAGCAAATGTAATAACCTACTCTGAGGGAAAATGTGTTTAATTCTGAAATATGTAGATTTATTTTGGGGGAAAATCTTCAGCTGTTGGTGCTTGGCTCCAAGGAGGCTTTTTCTCCTGGAGAGGAGATGCATTTTATTTTGACCCGCTCTTAGAGATGAGGCTGGGAAGTAATCTGGAATTAATGGGGTTTTTTTAATTTTTTCTTGTTTATTTTTTCTCCTTTTGCTGTTTGCCTATATCATATTCCCCTCAATGAGCTAACTTCACTAAAATATTAGTAACACTGCAGTAAATGTGATCCCCAGTGAAATGCTGAACGTCAGCACTTAACTCTGGTGTTGCATCACGGAGATGAATGGGGAAGTTGGGCCTGGCTGAGGCCTGTGGATTGCATTACAGTCATCCTGACCTTTCCATAACAACCCCTGGAGCCTGCACATTACATTCACCACGCAGCTCTTTTTATAGTTCTTCCCTGCTCTCAGTGACACCAGAGCTGCTGGAGGTGCAATTTCAACTTTTTGAAATCAACAGTGAAAATGGAAGAAACCCTGGAAAGGCATTTGTAGCAACTTGTTGCTAGTTAAAGGCCACCATCAATACTATTTGGCAAAGTGTATTTGAAGGAACTAGTTAGTATTCATTCCACAAGCCTGTACAAATGGTGTGGTATATCTGACACCATTTTTTGGTAACTGTTCTGTACTGAGTTTTTTGGCAAAGGTACTACTTTTACCTGGATACTCATAGACACTACACTACTTCTTATTCCCATTTTTTATAGTCTCTGTGTGTGCACTTAAAATGCCTGCAGAGGAGATGGGGGAAAGAGAGAATCCTGTGCACATTACAGGGCACTTTCCAGTCAGTTGAGACAGGTTTGGTAACAGACCTCATTACAATCTGAGTCCTGTCCAAGTAACTCTTGTTGTGTTGTCACTTGCTTAAGTACCAGTGCACTTCTGTGGACACTTTAGGGAGTGTCCTAAATGTTGCCTGGAGACAAAAATGGATTTGAATCGGTGTTTACAGTATCTGCTACCTTTACCCTAGATAATTCTGTTTTTAATTCCCTTTCTATAATCTCGTTACAGCTGCCAGATACTGCAGCATGTTAATTGAAGAAGGTGGTTTACAGCATTTGTACAACATCAAGGAAAACGTCCAGACTGATCCCCATGTCCAAAGGATTGCCATTGCCATCCTGGACAGTTTAGAAAAACACATTATGCGTCACGGGAGACCCCCACCGTGTAGGAAACAGCAACAGAGCAAACCAAACTGAAAGCTGCAGGTAGAGGAGTGTAAAGTATTGTCTCTGTAATAATCCCTTCTGATGTGTGTGTAGTTGGAGTAATTTGTAATATATTGGTCACCATTAAAGTGATTTGCCAGTAACTGTGGTACCCAAAACCATGTGTGGAAACCTTTGCTGAACGTCAGCTTTGATGGCAACCACGTGTGTGACTTGTCAAGGGTCAGGCTTGAGCTGGTCATAAGGTGGGGTTAGTGCTGCCTACCAGGAGATGGGACTTGTACAGATCAATATGCACATCTGAAAACAAGACTTGAAGGAATATCCTGTTTTGTGACTCCTGGGAGAAAAAGTTATTCCATCCCTGTGATTGCTCTTCATAACACTGTTCACCAGTTTGGTGTTTGAATAGAACTGTGTGTGGTTGTGAGATCCAACACTCCTACAGACTAAACCACAAGTCCCGTGCATGCAGGTTACAGTGAGACTTGTAACTAAGGCGACCAAAATGTCCATTGTCTCATAACCCTTCTAGACACAAATGAGGTCTTCAGCTTCCTTTTCCTTTTGCCTGCAAGCCATGTTCTTTTGTTTTCCTTACTGCTGGAACAATGCCTTTTTGCAGTTCACTTCTCCAGAGTCCTCCCTGCTCTTAGCAAGGTGGGGACCACATCATGTTCAGGGAAAGGGGAAACCCACTCAAGTAAAGCAGTAGAAACAGGACTAAAATGAAACAGTACTAAAAGGATGAACTAAGTTTGAGATTTTAAACTTTATAACAAGAAGGGAGTTTTGTTGTTGTGTGACTACTTTTAGTTGTGTGTGATACCTTTTGTTTTTAGAATACTTGGGAATAGGGAAAGGAGAAGGCTCATTAGAGCAAAATACTGACTTGACTTCATCATGAAGGGGATTGCATGTACTCATCAGAGGCCCAGGATATTTGGTCACCTTATTTATAAGAGACTAATGATTGCTCTCGTTTTCTGTAAATATTCAGTCAGTATTGTGCAGTGAACTATATTTCCAAGTCATGGCAGTGAGTGTAAAATACACCCAGTGTTCTATGTAAACCCTGTGTCAATGGCATTGTTTTGTGGAGTGTGAAATTTTACATGAAGATGCTAATTGTAACAACTTGTTCCTTTCTTGGTTACCTATGGGTTACAAATGATGTGTCCAATGAAACCTATTGCACAGCATACAGATGCCTGATACAATGCAAGTGATGGAAGCAAACTGCATGTCCATTCAAATTCAATTTAATTTCAGGTATTGTTTTTGTTTATCTGCTTAGTCTCTGTATTTCCATGGCCACTGATTGATATTCAGAGATACTTCTGTAAATACTTGGGAACTGAGTTTAAAAAGAAAACTTAGGTTTGGTAGCTCATGAGCAGGGATGGCTCCTTCATGATGACCATATTTTACTATTTTTAACTCCTTCCTTCTCCCAGCTCCCATCCTTCAAATAAAAATATCACCTCTAATCTTCAATAACATTGTGTATTTCAGCAACTTCAAAAGGTGCTCATCCAGTAATTTAACCAGTGTTTTCTCATTGTTTTTTGTACAAAAGTATAATTTGGCTATAATTTCATGTGTGTATCTGGCTATGTACAGTTTTCTCAATTCAGACAGAAATTCAACTGGCTGTAGCTTTGAATTATGAAGGTGGTTTAAAAATTAAAAACAGCCTACAAGCTTTTACCCCCCACCCTTCTGAGATGTCTGCTATGGGACTTGTATAGAGTTTCCATTACATGAAGTGGAACACAAAACTTGTCAAAATTGGTGTTAATAGAATAAATATAAATCAATTGCTATAAGATTTTAAAATAAAGATGACAACTCTCCTTACAGTACTGTTTTTTCCTAATAATAGGAGAACTTGCTGAAAAGCATCTTAACTAAAACTGTGCAGAAAAAAAAGTACTACTCCCTGCAGCACAAAATGCAGGTGATAATGGCATCAGGCCACAGCTGTGGAAGACATGTCACTTCATGAAGTTCTGCAACCAGCAAGCAGAGAGATTCTGAATGATTTTTCATACCCTTTTTCTTTTGCTCCCACACACTTCAGGCAAACTGTGAGCAGAATTCTTTCAAGCTGAAAAATATAAATTACTACAAGGTATAAATCCACTAAATTTACTTGTATGTGCCACTTACAGAAAGGTCTCTTCACACCCCTGTGCAGCTTCAGGAGTTTCTGCCAGGGTACAATAATTCTGGAAGCAACTTTTAAACTCTTGTATCTCACCTCTAGCATCTTTTGTGAAGGCTGAAGATCCTGACTCTGCTTTATCTTTTCAGATCTTTACATAGAAAACTTGCAGGTGTGTAATTTGTTAAGGTGACCTCACCCACAGAATTGTTTGGGTAACTTCTGGCACAAGTGAAACTGTGGTTTGCTTTGAGACAGTCATAGCATGAAGTGACAGCCAGTTCCAATGTGGTAAGCCATACTTAGTAAGTATATTTTGGTAACCTATAAAGTGTTTACTAAAACCACATTTGCTTCCTAATTTACTTTTGCTTGAACTCTCAGGTCTAGGGAAGTAAGCACTTTCTAAGTTGTCTTTCTCTTCAGTGTTTGTTTTTCCTAACAGTGTTTAGGTGCAGCATGTTTTCTGCCTTTTTTTTTTTTTTTTTAATTTCTTTATGGTGAGCCAAAGCTTCTCCATATTCCTTACTTGACAAATGTGTGAGAGCAACACTGGCTCAAGATGTACGTGCCTTAAGGATCAGGTGTACAAAGTTAAATCTTTATTGGAAGATTCGTACAGAAAAATGATCCAGTGGAGTATTCAGAAATGCAGTCCAAGGCAAGGGGTTAAGTGCACAGAATGGTGTCATAAAAATTATCCCCAAGAAATCAGTGGGTACTCTTCAGTCCTACTTTACTTTCTAAAAATCAAGGGGAAGCTAGAAAGTGTTATTTGCCGATAAAGCGCGGTGGTCGTTTCTCCCTGAAGGCAGCCATCCCTTCCTGACGGTCTCTTGTGGGAATATTCTGTATTAAAAAGAAAAGCAGAGCAAATGGTATGTTTTCCATTGACAAGTAGATGTGGTTTTAAGTCCTGGCTAATTTGGCAGTAGTGGTGTAAGACTAAGGTTGCTTTTCTTTCAATACTTTAAGTCCCAACTTCCACGTTTTGCGATTAGGAAAATAGAGACTGGGTTCTAGAGTAACTCACAAGCAAAGCATCTCAGACAAAGACCGTAGAACTATATGGGAAAACAGTTTTCCCTAAACTTAATGCTTTACCATCTTAAAATACACTGAGAGGCACATTATATTGTAATAAAATAATGTACTGTATTGTTCCATTAGTTAAGACAGGTACGTGCTCTCAAAACTTGGCACAAAGAAGATTCCTCACAGGAGGAATCATTTTTAATTTGTCAAAACCAAAACCACTTGTAAAGCTCATCCTATAATTAAAATACAGTTGTTCCTTTCAGGAGTGAATTCTGAAGGTGACCTACCTGGGCATAGCACATCCCCTCAATAGCCATCCCTGATGCAATGTCGACCTGGGGATGAGAGGGAAGGGTGAGATTTGTCAGAAGTACAGCCCTCAAAGCTCTTCATAGTTCTCAAATTGATAAACATTGACTTGTAGTACAGAGTGACCTTCACTCCTGCATTAGAACTGCAGTGTTAGTGACTAGAAGAGAAATTCTGCCCTATTAATTTTATCTTTAAAGAAAATCTTTAAAACCTCTGCAATGGCTTTAAATGCCTGGTCTAAACATGGATTATAACTCATCTATTCTGAACATTTTTACTGTAGTAATTTGTGAGAGCTGCTCGTTTGCTTCATTCACCTCAATATTTATAAAAAAAAATGTATTACCTCCATTCCTCTGTTTATTGCCAGTTTTCCCATTTTCACAGCAAATGGAGCCTTTATTAAAAAAAAAACCAGAAACCAAACTACAACAAACATTTAAAATAATTAAAGCCACATTCATTCATAATAGAGGAATTGTTATATCATTGTCCTAGCTCCAAATGACCTTCTAGTCTACAAAAATTTGCAGCAAGTTAGTAAGTATTTTTAAAAAAATTTAAAAATCAGTGTTTTCTGCAGTTCACATATGTACATGGTGAAAGGTTTCAATGTGTCCTGCAGGGCTGCATGACTGCAGCTGGGGGTAAAACTGTCCTGTAGGTTAATCAGCTGGATGTTAATGCTTGTTCCTACAGAAATTGCATTCAGAAAGGACAGTTAAGAGACTTAAACGTGAGGAACCAAGACTTCAGTATTTCCCAGGAAGGAATTTCAGTTGTTGTTTGCTGTCTTTACGTTGCCCACATGAACACCACACTTACCTGGGGAAGGGTTTCTTTAGCCAAAGCTAGTGCTCTCTGGTAAGCTGCATCTCCCTCGCTGTTCTGTGGCACTGAGTGATTTACCAAGCCCATGGAGAAGGCCTGTTGTCCATCAATCTGTCTGCCAGTGAAAATGAGTTCCTTTGCAAGACCTATTCCAACACATCTGGGCAGGCGCTGGGTTCCACCTTAGGATAACAGTGAAAACACCTTTTCTCATTTCTGAGAAATGCCCCACTAGTATTCTGGCTCCTTAGAAAACCAGGAGGTTTAAAAAATAAAGGCATCGTATAACCACTAGCTGACTATGTCAACATTTTTAAAGGCATCTGAAAAGCTTCAGCATCCCTTTTGAGTATTTCAATAAACAAGAAAAGGTATAAAGGGACTTTCCTAAATTCAGAGCAAGTCTGAGACAGGGTTTGGGACAGAACTCTTGATTCATAGATCTCCTGCATCACTGTAAGATGCTACTTCTAATTTACCTCCAAAACGCTTAAAGTGCTCCAATGGCAAAATATTTACTGTACAGCTGAGAAAGTGAGACTGAAGATTGAGTGCAGGTCACCTGCTCCAGGAAGAAGTCCTCGTGTGGTCTCAATAAGGCCCATTTTAGCTGATGAAGCTATTAAAAAAATAAATGCAGGGTTAGTTACTTTTTGATTTGTATAACTACAAGTTTTCCATACTGAACTGATTGATAAAACTACAAACTGGCAATACTGAACTGGAACTCCATTTCTCCAAGTAGCCAGAAAGTGAGTACTACAGTGTTTCACCAATGTCCATCTCAAGTGCCATGGGGGATGTGTGGTATGGCTGCTTAGCTCAATGTAGCAGTTTTATCTAGAACAATGAATCTTGTGTCCATACTAGATAAAATGTAATGGATGGAAGCACAGAAACAGAAAAAGGAAAACTTCCAGTCCAAACTGATTTAAATTGGGAAGGTTAGATCTAGCCAGAGTGCTGATCCAGAATTACATTCCAATAACTGTTTAATTCTACTAATAAAGTTTTCTAAAGGAATACTAATCTTACCTAAAAATAGGCTTTACTTTTTAAGCATGGAAACTGCTTTTCCAGTAGTAACTAAATGTCACAATTTCTGAACAAATGCTTCCTCATTTCCTGAACTGTTTTAAGTTCCTCTCAAGCTTCTGGATTCCATTAACAGTCCATTCTCAAGCATGTAAGTTCTCTTTAAAATATAGTCACTGATTGCAGGACGATTCCTACATGGAGCAACACCAACCTGCCACTCGAAGGTCACAGGCCAAGGCCAGTTCTAGTCCCCCTCCCAGCGCGTAGCCATCGATGGCAGCGATCGTGGGCACAGGCAGGGCAGCTGCAGAACACAGCACAGGTTACACACTTGTGTTCCAGAAGTTCTCTTCTGGAATTTGAATCCTTAAACTCTAAAGCTTTTAGTCCAAAATTGCCCAAGAACTCATTTTCTACTGCAACACAAAACAGGGTGAACTGTCTCCCTGCAGACTGATCACATCAATGTCCAGCTGCTGCAGTTCAACAGTCAGAGCAAAGATGCCATCCCAAGTCACGGTCACGAGGATCAGTTTTTCTGGTGTTTTTGTCAGCCAAGGCTCCTGAACTTGGTAAACACTGTTGTTACCTCACAGTTGAGCAACGTGATGTATCTGGAGATTATCTGCTTGATACCTTTCCAAATATTCTGGGAGCTGGATGCAAACTTCAGACGTGTGCTACTTCTGTGCTGTAACCACCCCTCCCTGACTGCTCCTGTGGGGTTTTTAATTACTGCAACTCTGATTGGTATTTTAGTCAGCTTTCACTTTGTTTTTTCTCTCTAGTGAGAGCAGAATAATTCATAAATAGGGGAAGAAAATCAATTGCATGAGTCCATATTCCTTTTAGAAAAAAAAAGAAAAAAAAAAGAAAAAAAGAAGAGGGAGTGGAGGAGTTGTAGATACAAACCCAAACATTCCACAAATCCATTTAGCAAATCCATTCAGAGATTCAAATCCATGTTGTTAGGGCATTGCCACATCATGAGAGTTTCAGAGCATGTACTGGAAGTGGGACAACCAGCACAGCTCACGTTGTCTAGCACTGCCTCCCTAGGATTCCACAGAACTGGATATAAATGCTTTGCCATAGCAGGTATTTTATTTATTACACCCATGTGTGTGCACTGCTCTTGTTGTGGGTAAGGCAGTACTGAAATGCATCTTGTCCTGGGAGTGGCAGCAGGAGAGTTAGTATTTTACCAGATTTTTGTTTCAGGCATAAGCTGGAGTCATTTGGGAAGCAACTCCTACATGGATAACCTGCTGGTTGTCCTCTCCTACAGCATGTTTCACTACAGGTAGTCTAGGATAGCCTTTCCAACTGAAATAAACCTTTACCTATTTCATCCATGAGATTTCTCAGCCTTCTAACAAACAGTCCAACTTCTGCATCATCCATCTTTGCACGTTCCTTTAAGTCTGCTCCTAAATAACGGAGAGAAAGGTTAGAATCCAGGAAGAGACATCCAAACTGTGTTCCCTCCTGTCCCTCTCAGAGGACAGACCATTTCATTTCAGAAGTTTTGAACTACAGCATTCTGTAGAGGTTAAGTAAGGTCAGAGGAGGTCAGTGTGGACACTTGGGCTGCAGCAATGGGGGGTGCTCCTCTGTGCCCTATCCACAGATTCCACAGAGGAACACCAACCACTGTATGTAAGGATGACAATCCATAAAACTGGAAACAAGAACTCCAATACCAGAGCACCTGTGCTTGAAGAAATGGAAAACAAATAGTGGCACCATGCAGCCTGTGTGGCTCACTGTGTCACACACATCTTCATCATGGAAGCCAAGAGACAGACAGCTGAGAGAACAATGTGGTTGTTATTTGCCACACAAAAAATTGCCTATTTTTCTTTTAGCACACATTTTCTGCTTGATCTGATCACAGTCCCAAGAGCCATCATGTTTTTTGAGCACAGTTTGCAGAGCCTTTGTTACTCACCTGCACAAAACACACCTTTCACCTGGCTCTTGAACACCACCACACGCACCTTCTCATCGAAGCGGAGCTGCTCCAGGGCACTGAACAGCTACGAGGGAGGGAGGGCAGACAAGGGGGGAAAAGCTTCAGGCATAAATTAGAGCAAGCTCCTAATAATATATGATACAAGGGTTTCCTTTTTGCCCTGCAGGTGCCAGGATATTTCTGGAAATCATGTAAGTGGAACCAGCAGGATCTTTCCGTGACAGCCTCAGAATGATGTGTTTCCCCATCTCTTTTTTCCTTCCACTCAGAGATGAACCTTTGCTGTACCTTAAACTCATTCCCCTTCCTGTCAAGGCATGAGCTGGACTTTCTCGAGGATGTATTATCCTTGAACAGATCACCTGCTAAGGTGTGACAATGAGTATGTTTTTGTTGTAATTACACAAGTAAGGACATTAACTTGCATCTGAGTTAAATTAAATTAAATTAAATTAGCTAACTTCAATAACTCCAGTATCTCTGTCCAGTCCACATCTGAGATACTGCACAATCCCTTTTTCTCCAGGCTAACCTGCCTTGCCCTGGTGCCATCTCCCACTGACCTTCAGCAAGGGATAAGATTTTGTTTTACATTTCCTACAACTGTTCTTACTGCAGTTGGTTATTGATCACAATTCCAAACACACTTACAGGCCAGGCCCATACTCACTTCGTTTACAAATACTTTTCCCAGTGAATTTCTCGCGTGGGGTCGGTTCATTAGGATTTCAGCAATACCTTGGTAATAGGAGACAATTTCAGTTATACTTCATTTAGTTCTCTGACACAGTAATTCAACTGGGAACAATATCTGCATGTGCTGCATCTTCTCTTCCCTGAAAATGCATGTAAAGTATTTTCTAAACCAATCAGTTATTTGAAAAGTAGAGGTGGCACACCATGTCTACAAAACCCAGTTATGCAGAAAAACTGTAAAATTCAGCAGCACTGTAAATACTGTAAGACTTAGAAAAATCAACACAACATCCAAGAACATATGTCTTAGAATCACTGCAGAAACGGGGGAAAAAAACCCAACAAACCAAAACCCAAATGATCCATCTTAGATTTCTCTTTTGAATGTTACTTAATTTAGTTTTTATTGTACAGTCTTACTATGTTAAAGTATATTTCTTTAATGAAGAAAATTCTTGGGATTGCTGTTGGCATGAGAACAGCACAGACTGGTCACTCTCAGTTCATGTTCCAGAACCGCTAGGAAATTGCAGCTCCATTATATTTAAACTTAATAAGCTCATCAGTGCAAAAGACTCCACTAAAAGTTCCTAAGTCCAGGCAGAAAAATAAGGCCAAAGTATGTATCTACTTCTCCCTTGCACTTGTGACTTGTAAATTATTATCCAATGGCTTCTGCGTGCCTTGGAAAGAAAAAAATATCCCGTTTCCTTGGCTGGACTTCTGCTCACTTCCCAGGCACGAACGTTCTAAGATGCTGTTGCTGCTGCTGTAGGTGCACAGCTGTACTTTGCACGTGTGTATTCCTTTGCCTGTGCCAGGGGCCAGCTACTGAACCAGACACAGGTGACAGCAGCACCAGCAAAAGACACAGCTGTGGGAACTGTTCACGGGTATGTAACTAGCAAAACTACCAAGAGGTGTTTAGGAGCTCTTGCAATAGTTACACAGAAAGTAAATCCATTGGCAATCTGAACCAAAACTCAAACTGTTTACTGGCTCTCATGCATAAATGTGCACGGACATGCCCAGGTCCTGTGCTACCTTTAGCGCTGTACATTGCTGATATCAGAAAAATCTAAGGTATGCAAACCAGAACTTCCTGTGTTGAGCTCTCCTGCACGCATGACTTAAGAATATGCACCTAGCCGTTCATTTGGCAGGAGCGTTCTCGGAAACAAGTATCAAGACATAACTGAAAGCTAAGATACGACGGACGACCTGGCTTCAACCCGCGCCCTC